CCTGGGACTAGGATGACTTGCGAAAAAACAGGACTATTGTCATTTCATTGAATCAAGGGCATAATCACTAAAAATTAGGATTGTTCTTATTTTTATCAGGTTAATTTGTATCTCTTTTCTGAAGTTTCTCAAGAAGAAAACCATGGTATAGGGAATCACCATTTTCTTTTGGGTGTCCTCGTGAACTAGTGATAGAGAGAAATTTAGAGAAAACATGATCTTTACAACATGGCAGCATAACTATTCCCTGGGTACTTAAGGTGGAGGAGGAGTGTAATGCACACAGACAACTGTAATAGTTCTGCAAAACCTGCTTTTCCTTATATACAAAAACCCCAGTGATGTAATGATGAACCTAAAGTAATTACAGGATTTCTTAAGCATCTTCTCTCCTGTCAGCAACAGGTAAGTGGACGCAATCCCCCATACTGCTAGTTTATACTCTAGATTAGATGGGGATTATAGTTTTCACATTCTTTTTGTTTGGTTTTGTTTGGGGGGTGTGTGTGTTGCTGTTTGTTTGTTTGTTTTTCTGGACTTGGAGATAGCTTGGAGATAAAAATGATGTCTGCACCTAGCTCAGCATTCAGATAGCATGCCATCCATTTTTAGCCTGGTAGGCTATATGAAAACAAGGTTTATGCAATCACCCTGTCTCTTTCTCTGTGTCCCAAGTTCCAGTAACTTTGAAGGTGTTAGCCAGTTTCAGCTGAGTTTGAGAGATAATATCGTTTATACAAATTTCATAAAAATAGATAACCAGGCAGAGGAGACACTGGGGATTGAACATTTAGGAGTTAACACCTAATAACTTTCTATCCAGTCAGCAAATTTCTACACATTTCCATTTCTGAACATGGCAGCCTGCATGTTGCTGCCAAAACGCTCCGCAGGAGGAGATGCTAGGTATATGCGGTCGTAACAGAAAATTTTATTATAATTCAGATAAATAGTCAGCCAACCGAGAGGCAAATCCATAGGAAACCAGGCTTCATTACCTTCAATGTTCACAGAACTAGTAGCTTATATTTCTGAAGGATGAAATAAATGTGGGCAGTCTGAAGTTTCTTCAGATAACCAATACTAGTGGGTTGTTATTCATCGTGGGGGGAAAATTAGAAGTAAATATAACTCTTTGCTGGTACTTCTAAGGTCTACGTCTTTTGCAGGTGCTCACAGGACCTGGGAGGCTGCACACTGGCACAATTGGCTGCTACAGGGATTGCTAACTTCAGCCCTTTCAAGAACCTGACTCACTTATCATATCCCAGCCACAAAACTCAACTTGAAACCAGATTCATCACTTGGATTTCTTCACCGATGCACTATCGGAAGTATAAACTGCACCCGTTTTGTGATTTATGAGAACTAAGAGATTGTATTACTTGCAGCTGTCCCATAACTCAGTCCAAAGGTGATGATCTCAGCTTCTCTGTTTATGCCATCTGAGTGTTTCCATTTCATACCCCTCCTACTAGCACTAGTATTGCATACCACCCCTCTACCATGCATTTCTGAACTGATTAATTTGTGTCTGTGTTGAAGCATGCAATCCTCATCTAGACGTTATCTATTCAGTTCATGAACCAGCAATATTGGATGTTGTGCAGTCTGTACTTCCTTACTGTGAAATACCCTTTCCATAATCACAGGAACCCTGTCTTGATTAGCCCAAGCTCAGTGGCCCATTTCAGTAACACTTTTAAGCACCTCATCACATATTTAAGCACTTCTAATGTGCTTCTAATGTGTACATCTTCTTATCACATATTTTTAATGTTTTTCAAGCCTGCATAGTGGGTGTGACATTTTACCTTTATATTATTGTTTATTCTCAGTTTTCATTGCATTACTTTAGCCTATAGCAAATAAATGATATTTAAGGTGAGCTTGAGGATTTATGGATGAGCTTGAGGCCACTAATGGGTAAGCCAGATCCTTCCAGTGTTTCAATTTCTCTTTCTAACATGATATCTTTAACATGTACTTTCTAAGTGAAAATAACACAAAGCAAACAGATATCCAGAGATATGTTCCCTTCCATCATGACAGCTTTAAAGAGAAAAAAAAACCAACAACATTCTGTTTGTGTCAAAGCTACAGAGGAAAGGCTATGGCAAATAGTGAGAAGTCTTTAACAGGAAACATCTCTATTGATTACAGTAACAGAGAACTATCTCTAAAGCCTATGCTGATTTCAACTGTTTCTTCTATCATAGCAAGGGAAACACTCTCTTGGGTAACCTTGTAACATCCTTACCTGCATGGGGCCTTATAGATTAGTTTGAGAGCTGGAAGTATTGGGTAAAAACTGCTGCAGTCTAAGGAACAAAATGCTGATTTGATCAAAATCTCCATGCTAATTACAATTTGCTAGGAATATTTTTATTGAATAAATTTGTATTGAAAGAATTTGTCAGACTGAGTAACTTTGAGTTGCCAGAACTCAGTATGACCTCCCAAAGCTGTTCCAAAAACCTTTTTGGTAGACCTTTTCTGGCACGTCCCCTGTTGTGTGATGATTTAGGTCAATGTGCCTGGCTACCACTATTGTTTAAAACAATCTAAAAGGCAAAGACTTGGTGTTCTCACTTTCTGTTTGGACAGCTGGAAGCTATGACTATTTTTTACACTGTGCTTTGTGCTCCTTGGATCAATATAAAGTTGAGTCAGAACCAAAAGCCAATAGCCAGTGAAACTAATAGCCAGGCCTGAGCCTACCGAAATTCACATCATTAGAGCACCATTTGCTGGTGCTCTAAAGCAAGATACAAGCTCCAAATAGGTCCTGAGCATGCCAGGGATCTGTTCAAGGTATCTTACACACACCGTTTATAGTTAGGAACCCACAAAGTACCACGGTGAATCTTGCTGCACAGAGAGCTTTGTACAGGCTCCTCAGGAACCTTGAACAGTGATGGGCCAAAGACTCAGATGAAGGTCTGCCAAAGGAACAAGGGACGTGCCAGCTTTTGCCAATACTGTCAGGAGCTTGATCATGCCTGGCTAGAGAAGTAGAGTCAAGCCACCAGTGAGCAGCATGCAGGACGCCCCTTTACTTGAACTGGATAATGAAAGCTAGCTAGTTTAAGAGCTCTTAAACTCCCAGGAAGTTCCACGGATAAATGGAATAAATGGGCTGGCATTGGCCCAGGTAAAGATACGTGCAGACCTTTTTCCTCTGAGCACATGTTTTGGTGGGGGAAGGTTATTTTCTGTGCTGATCATTTCCTGGACCTGCAGCCAGGTGCCGGGCATGCTGCCGGCAGGGCCATACTGCAGGTGGCCTCACAGCTGCACAGGCTCTGGTGGCTGCTGGAGGCAGCCTGTCTCCTCCCGGCCTCTGGAGCAGCCTGGCGCCCTGCCCCAGCCTCGTGATCACCCCAAGCTGTCGTAAGGACCTCGATTCCTTATCCTCTCCCTCGAGCCCTACCCCTATGCTTGCTCTTGCGCTTTGACACGTGGGGTGAATCACAGGGTTTCCCCCAGCCTGACTCATTCCTGCAGCTGGGACGAGGCTCCCAAACCAGGCAGAGCTCCTCCCTGGTCCCCCAGGCTCCTTCATCCCACGCTGTGTCCCCTCTGTGCAGCTCTTGTCCCTTTGCTGCCCCCACATCCCCACACAGCAGTGGTCTCCCGTGTTGCCATAGTCACTGGGTAGTGGTTTTCACGGACCAGATGCAGGCACACAAAGAGCAAAAATCACAAGTTATTCACTTCCAATGTACTTCCTTTTGCTCTGGCAAATCGCTTGGAGAACACCTCACTGCCCATGCCCTGAATAAACATCAGCTGTACAAGCAACCTTGTATAATGTGACATGAGTTATAAAACTGAATTGCAGCGGTAGCGCGTCTCGTTTCTTACACCTCTTTTGCTGACCTGCCATAGCTTCCCTTGCTCGAGCATCTCATTTCCCCCGGAGCAGAGTGTGGCGAGTTGCTTCCACCGGAGCTATCATCAAACAGGGAACAGAAAGTAACGATGGTGGCTGTGAAGGTACCGCGAAGTAAACTCAGTTGCGGGAAGAAAAATTCCCGCTTTTTTTCCTGTGATTAACGCAACGCAGAGCTTATGTGGAGCACACAGCTGCAGGCAGAGCAGCGAACGACTGCTGCCAGCGAAACTTAGGGAGGAAACCCGCTCTGCCCTCCGTCCCTTAGCTGCGGAGAGGGGCTGCGGCGTCTCCTGATTTCCCTTTCCCTTACCCTTGCTTCTACCCCTACCCTGGGGCCCGGGGAGCGGGAGCACCTCTCACCCCTCAGTCGGCTCGGCCCGGAACGGTGAGGGGAACGGTGAGGGGAACGGTGAGGGGAACGGTGAGG